GGATTGCCCACTTCTGAAGCACTGCCATCTTGGCTGAAGATAGTAACTACTATACTAACCCAAAATCCAGTCTTGCCCAAAGGCCTGGTGTCAAGTGTCCTCTCAGGGACATTCTGAATCAAATAACTAATCAATTGGGGAGGGGAGAAAGCCCCAGGATTTCCACGTAAATCAGGAGTAAATGGGGGGGAAAAAGCAAATGGATTGCTGGCCTAGGTCGTGCTCACAAAAGAGATACAGCAGGATCAGAGAGAGAGAGTCAGAGTTTATTAATCTCTTCTGTGATTATGTACTTGGAATGGAATATGCTGGAGTTGGCAGGCCTCCTTTGCTCGTACTACCTTGAGCTGTGAGGTTGTGTAACCAGGAAGACAACCTGGAAGCCGCTGAAACTGCCCTTGTGGGGTGGGGGGTGGGAGCATGGACGCGGACAGGGAAGCGACAGCCTCACTCCTCCGAGATATTTTGGTTCCTGTGCCTTAAACTTTGGGCAATTCAAGTTTAGAGGTCCTAATTCCGCAGTGAAAATTGCTTCCAGTAGAGGATACACTACTCCTGTGAGCTCTGACTAATCCTCCTCAAATCAGGAGATCTGGAGTGACCATCATATCCTTAGAGAGGTAACTGACTCTGATTTTCAAAAGACATGGAAGGTGTTATTGCCCCCTGGGGATAAGGACTCACGTGTTTGGCACTCAGGTCTAGGCATCTCCTGGTAAACACTTGATTTTGATTTTGAGAGAAGAGCACATCGCCCTGTAGTCTAGAGCTTTTAAGCCCCATGGACAGGAAGGTTGTGAACCCGTCAGTGTTAATCCAGGGTGAGGAAACATGAAAATGAATAGCAGAGGGGAAACGGGGGATTCTGCTGTGGCCTTGATGCCTATAAATACAAGAGGGTCTGTACTTTTCTCATTAACCTCACTACTATAATTCCATTCAGGAAGAAAAAAAAAAAATCCATCCAAGTCGGAGGAACTGATCGCCAAGTAAGCAGATCCAAGCAGCAGCTGCCAGCGTTCTGTAGCCAGACTGGAAGCTCTCACTCGCCCCCTCCTGGTGAGTCATGGGAAGACACCCCTCAACTCAGTCAATTGGTGAGTGCTGCTTCCAGAGACCTCCTTAGTTTGCCAGGGCAAACTCACACCCTTAATTCTGTGAACAGCCCTGCCCCTTCCTCTGACACGGGCAAATCCTCAGGGCAGCCCCAGCTTCAAAGTCCTGGTGAAGCTGACGCGATTGCGCGCACTTGTCGTGTCCGAATGCTGCTGGGGCTTTCCTCTCCTGAGCACGAACATTTTTCCTGTCTACTTTCTGTATTCCAGCATGCCCGGGGAAACTGAACTCAAACCCTTCTCGGAGTCTATTTCTGGAGGAAACCTGACCCACGCGTGACATCCACTATCTAATTTTCATTTAAAAGCAGAAAATTAATCATTTGTAAGGGGGGAAAGGCAAACATACTTATATCGTTATGGCTTTACAATCGCAAAAAACAGGGCATCTAGATGGCTCCCTGGGTAAGAGCACTTGGAATGCAACCCTGGTGGCCTGACTTCCATCTGTCCAACTCAGAGGAAGGAAGGAGAAAGCCAGTCCTGAAAATTATCTTGTGACCTCTAGTGTGCACTGTGACACACATGCACAAACACACACACACACACACACACACACACACACACACACTAAAATGGATAAAATTTGTAATGACTATGAACAACTTCTCATTGAAAACTGTCCCAAATGTAGACAACAATTGCTGTTTTTTAATTCCATTTTTAAAATAATGGCTTACATGGCTTCTATTATTTTTAAAATCATATACTTACATGGCTATATAAAGATGAATTTGCATTTCAATATACTATATTTACATTTTACTATGTCATCATAAAACATGTATGTAATTTTTGCAACACTGCAAGTCAGGCCCACAGCTTTGGGCATGATTTTCATCAACATAGACTTTGAGAGTGTTTAGTTAAGTATTAATTCAGAAGTCATATCTATCGCCAAATTTACCAAAATAACTTAGTTGTTTATACAATTTCACATATGCAAGCATGTATTAATCACTTTATAATTACTTAAAGAAACAGAACATGTGGACTCCAGTATCCAGCTGATCTTTTTATTGACGGTGACCTTGACTACAAACCTAAGAGAGACAGTCGACATACCTTCACAGTGTGCTTGAGCGTCAGGAGTATGTCCAGCCTTTCATCCTGAGAGAGGTCTCTCAGCATGACACACTTGTAGATGCTTTGCAGCTCTCTGGCTCTTAGAGTGAACTGTGTGTCCATTTCAATGATTTTGCCATCAGGGTTTCTCCAGGTCTTTGGAGCTGAACACTTGAAAATAACATTATTGTTGCAATTATAGTTAGAGACTGAAGATAATAATTTTGTCCCATCCACTAGAAATCTGTCTTAAGTCCTAACTAAAGGCATTATTAAAATTCAAGGAAGATAATCGAAGACTTTCTAGACCATGGAAAAGTAAAATATTTATTTATTTTTCCATTTATTCATCATTGATGAACTGCAGATTGAACTTGGTGCTTCTTAGATGCTAGGTAAGGACTCTACCATTGAGGTCTAAACTCACAGAGCTCTTGATTAAGACATTTTACTATGGGCTGAAGAGAGTGTGTACTGCTCTTACAGAGCCTGCTCTGTTCCTAGCACCCTTGCCAGGGAGGAGACAAAAAGACAGATCAAGACATTCTTGGACTCCACTGAACATATCATGTAAGCAAGTCTGATGATTCCTTGGGGATGATAAATCCAAGTCTGATGATTCCTGGAAAGATGGCTCATGGGTTAGGCATGCTCACAGCTATTACAGAGGTGCCAGGTCATATAAGTCCCTGCTCACACATGGTACACATAGACTCGTGCATATAAACATATTGAAAAATTAAATCTCTTAAAGGCATTTAAAGATACCTCTGCAGCACAGGTGGCCACATCTGGTAGCCTTATAAAGATAATTAAAGAGTGGGAGAATAGACATTTGTTCAGTCTGCAGAAGGGAAAACATATCTCCAAGATTGAGAGTTAGGGACTGATTTATATTACTTGGCATGGTGAATGGCTATATTTATATTAAAAATTATGCACTGACTCCATAGGGAGAACAGCATATATTTAGCATGTGTTTTATTATTATCTGCCTAGCTCTATATTGACTATGTATTCATGTGTCTTGGTTGTTTGCCTTGCTGATTAAAGACAAATTTCATAGAGCAGCTATGGTTGGTAACCCTCAATATTTGAAGACCTTCAGATATCTCAGAAAGGGGCTGTGTGAGTTATGTCTTAGTATCTTACATAAAATAAGTCTGTATCAAGTTCAAAGTTCTTCACAAAGCAGGTTTCCACAGTGAAACAGTTCTACAGTTGACCCTCTATATCTGTGTGTTCTGCCTCCTCAAATTCAACTAACCCAGGTCAAAAAATACTGGGAATTTTTTCCAGCTGAACATGATGCCACATGTCACAATCCCAGCACTCAGGAGGTGGAGGCCAGAGGAACAAGAGCTCAAGACCAGCTTCTTTCTAGACAGTGAGCTGGACAAAAATTCAGTCTCTATATAGAACATATGTAGACCTTTTCATTTCTTGTCATTGCTCCCTAAACAAGTCAGCACAACAAAAAATTATTTACATAGTATTTACATTATATTAGGTGTTAAAAATCTTCTGGAACTGGGGCTGTAGCTCAGTGGTAGAGTGCTTACCCAGTAAGCATATAGCCTTAATTTCAGTCTCCAGGACTTAAAAAAAAAAAAAGGAATCTGGGGATGCCTTAAACTACACAGAGATTTACATATATTATAAGCAAATATAGCGTCCTTTCATACAGGACTGGAGTAACTGTGGATTTTGGTATCCACGGGCTCGGGGAACCAATCTTTTGCACACACGAGGGACAACTGTTTTAGCAGTACTATGATCACTACTACCCAAGTGTTGCCAAAATGTCTCACTTTCTATTGACAAATATGGCATAGAGTACCCCAGCCTAGCGTACCTCCTGAATTGAGGGATGGGTGACTGGGTTCACTTGCCCTAACATTCAACTAAGGATTCCCAGGCGAGGAAGTCAGAGACAGCACGGTGTCTGAACTGTCTACTGAATGTACCACCAGGATGGCTTTTAAGGATGCCCCACTGTGCTTAGCACTGATCTGTTTCCTCCTACCAAGAGTTTAAAAGCAGAGGATTCAGCTACATATCCCTTGGGAATCATTTGCTATTTGTTTTCTCTTGTACTTTAGAATAAAAAGCTGCTCTATCATTTTGCCTGATTATACTCCTTCAGAAGCAAGCCTGTGTTGATCACAATTGCTGGCTTTTCAGATATTGGATGTTTTTGTAGGCTAATTAGTCATTGCTTTGGGGTCCTTGTATCCTGATTTATGACATAATTGCAATCATTTAAATCTTAGATGTGGTTTAATTTTCAGTTTAAGAGAAGTTCTCTAGGTGTTGGAGCAAATCATTAGAAACTCATAGTGAAACTAGACTGCACTTAGAATGACAGTTTACGATGAAGGTTTTAGTTATAGCTTCAATTACCTCCATTGTTTGCATGTTAGATTGAGAAATACAAAGTTATCCCTTACAATTATATTTGATATGTTTTCAAAACAACAGTATCCTTATAGTTATAGCAAAATAAAAGTTGCTTAGAGCAAGTAACCTCCAGTAGAAACTTCAGATTCTCAGTTGAAGTTCTGATCTGGGGACGGCAAGCCGCAGCACTATAACTGGTTTATAATGTCACATCAGAAATAGAATAATAGGTAATGTTAGCTAGACAGCTGATAGGCTAGAGCTGAGCTGGCTGAAGAGTTACAGAAGTAAAATGAGTTAATAATAAGACACTTTAATTAATGCCAGGTGGTGGTGGTGCACGCCTTTAATCCCAGCACTCAGGAGGCAGAGGCAGGTGGATCTCTGTGAGTTCGAGGCCAGCCTGGGCCACAGAGTGAGTTCCAGGAAAGGCACAAAGCTACAAGGAGAAACCCTGTCTCGAAAAACAAAACAAAACAAACAAAAAAAGACACTTCAATTGTTATCTCTTGGAAATAATGCAATTCTACACCTGAAAGAGCCTTACACTGAGTATTTTGCTCAAGTACAATGATTCTTTCAAAGCTCATTTTAAAAGTTTTAAAGAATACTTATGCTAAATTTCATCTATAATATCCTCAAGTCTAACTAATATCTTAATCTTCATATGCTAATTTCCTCAGCATGACTCTATAAAATATAATTTCTTTTCTACCATTAGTAAGGACAATATCTTTTACTCTGCAGGCTGGTAATTTATTTCATTTGTAATAATCCTTCTAACAACATGTTTCTGAAATGTCTACTTTATCTAATTTATTGTATGTTGGCAGTTGCTACACTATTTAATTCTACTTGCAAATGAGTGTTGATCACAATTGCTGGCTTTTTATGGCTCTGGTGAGTGCAAGATACTACAACAAGGTCTGGGGCTTTTCCAAATGGAGATCCAAATGCTTCTCATCTTTTAACTCCCAAGTCAAGCCTTACATTTTCCAAGAAATGCTCTCTAGTACCAGATGCTGGAATCCATAGCACTGTTTACATTGGAAATCCTTTTGCAGTTATAAACACACACACACACACACACACACACACACACACACACACACACACGTATATAGTGTCTCTATTTCAGTAACGCATGGCAAAGGAAATTGGATCTCAATTGTTCAATAAGTTTTTATGATTTTAAATTTTGTTTTCCTAAAAGGTTATAAAAAGTAAATTTCTCAGGTAATTCTGTATATTTCACAGGGTTTTTAGTGCTTATTCATTCATTCAACAAATATTTATGGTGTCTACACTAGTTAGTACCCTGGATACTGAGTAATAAAGTGCTGTCCTGATTTCAAAAGCTCTCAGATCTCATGGGATATAAAAGTAAGAAAATAACTAATTAAAGTAGAGAATGAGCATGGTTGATAGCTGCAGGTAAACAGGCAAGGATACACTGTCTATAAAGCACTTGACTCCTACGAAAAAAGCCATACCTACAATGAAACCAAGAGAATAAACAGGAGTTAGCCAGATTAAAGAGAACTGAATGATATAATCAGAGAATCCTGTGTATGAAGTAAGTCCCAGTTCCCAAGAGCTGGCACCAACAAGATCTTTATATATATGTATACATATACATATATATAAAGATCTGTTCAGCAAAGTTGTTTTTATCTTTGGCTGTCCTTCTGCCAACACTGATAACTTCATCTTCAAGTACAAGCTTCTTTGATTTCAAGCCTTACGGTATTTTTTTTCTTAACTCTGATGAGGGAAAATGTCAACTTTGCTTATTTCTCTTTCCTAGTTCCTTTTTTCTTTGAATGCTTTGGCTATAATAAGAGATGTACAACAATCATGTTCTTAAATTGCTTCAGAAATAGAAGCGTAATAAATTCCACTTAGCTGCCAACAAATGAGACAGCAGAGGCTGCGGAACAGAGCAACAGAAGAACAGCAGGAGGAAGGGAAGGAAGGGAGAGGACAAAAGCCTCGAGAGCAGCAGGCCTCCCTGCGCGGAGAGAAATGGCTGCTCCGGGAGAATAGGCCCTTTCTTCCTCGGGAATTAATTCTCAGGTCCCCAAGGGTACAAATTAAGCATAAAGTTAAGCCCCCCAAAACCGCTGGGTAGTGAGCAACCTTTCTTTTATACAGCAAAGGGGTTTTATTCATCCACAGTGACCCCCTGTTAAATGCACAGCTCAGAGAGAGGTAGATGCATTTTCCTGTCCCATTAGCTGTGGGCCACCTGAGCATGGAGAAAAAGCATTCACATGGCACAGCTACAAAAACTGCAGTTTTTTTTTTAGGCCTGTGACTGTGAGAAATGATGTATGAATCAAGGAAATAAATGTCCTCAACTTTAGGGATCATCTCTTACAGAAATGCAAATGATCTTTTCACATAGCTTGGTAAAATGCACCCAAAACATTAAAACTGGAAACCAACTAGTTGTCTTCCATTTGGACGTCACGACCTGAATTCCTTGACCTCAGTCAACCTGTCAGTTCTTAACGTCTGATAACCTGCAGAAGTCAGGGCTCAAAGTGGTAAGTTACAAATTAATTAATGCTTTTAAAAATCTTTAGAGTAGGGGCTGGAGAGACGGCTCAGCAGTGAAGAGCATTGCCTGCTCTTCCATAGGACCTGTGTTCAATCCGCAGCACCCACACGGCAGCTCACAACTGTGTGTAACTGAAACTCCAGGAGTTAAGACACCTTCACACAGACACACAGACAGGCAAAAATACTAGTGTACATAAAATAAAATAACATTAAATTAAATTGAAAAAAAAAACTTTAGAGTGAAATTTTTTTTTTACTAAGAATGAGAACCTTTAAAGGTAAGGACCTTTAGTTCAGTTTCTTGATTAGACCAATGAAATTATGCCAGTCGTTCATTATTCAGAGAAATAGTATGTTCAGAATAACATAAAATATTGTTTTCAATAGATCCCACAGTCATTGGACTAAGTGAATTTCAACTGAAACTAAATATAAATGTTTATCCTCCGTAGTTATTTCTAAGTGATAAGAAAGTAAAATTTTGCTTTAAATATCTACTTTATAGAGCTTTTGATGATAAATGCTGCATTGCCACTCTGCTTGCTGGTTACTTTTTTTTTTTTTTTAAGATTTTATTTATTTATTATGTATACAATGTCCTGCCTTCATGTACACCTGCAGGCCAGAAGAGGGCACCAGATCCCATTATAGATGGTTGTGAGCCACCATGTGGTTGCTAGGAATTGAACTCAGGACCTCTGGAAGAACAGCCAGTGCTCTTAACCTCTGAGCCATCTCTCCAGCCCCTTGCTGGTTACTTTTAATGTCTAAAATAACTGTGACCTTGACTGACTTCTGGGATAACTATAAACTGTTTTATCAGCAATCAAAAAGTCCTATATGATATAAGTTGCTTGAGCATTTATGAAATGAATACTGACTGTTCCTTGATGTTAGAGACAATGGCAGGATGGACATAAGGAATGGACAGACATGGAGAAGAACAGACCATGTATAACTACTTCCTGCTAATGTCTGCATCATTTACCTTCTTTTCTAGATATTTGGTACAGCTTCATATACAAAAACATACTTTAGATGATCTTGGATTACAGTGGTGTCAAGGTCGCCAGCTTGATTGGTTCTGGACACAAAGCAGTTATCTGCTTTTCTCTGCCCTTACAACTTTTCACACATACATACACACACAACAACAACAACACACACACACAACAACACACACACATACACTTTAATGTTTTATTTACATAATAATAAGGTTAAATAATCCCCTCACTGCCTTCCCACTGTCTCTTCAGTCTACTTCCCAGGACAACAATCAAAATCCAACTCCACCTCCTCAGCCTTCCCACCACGTCACAGGGTAGAACTTCCTATATTTAGAGTCCTTCAAGACTTTGAACTCTACTCTTTACAAAGTATTTAGAAATCAAAACCAAATCTTCCTCATAAAAATTCTTCTGAACAATAGTTCTCCATTTTATCTTTATTTTGGATGAGATTCATATAAAAATCTTATCATGTTATATTTACTTCATGAGAAAGGATGATGGTAATCAATCGACTCTACAAGCAATTTCATATTGTGCTTTGACCCACTGATTATATAAGTATATGAGCCGGGCGGTGGTGGCACATGCCTTTAATCCCAGCACTCAGGAGGCAGAGGCAGGCAGATCTCTGTGAGTTCGAGGCCAGCCTGGGCTACCAAATGAGTTCCAGGAAAAGGT